CCCCCTTAATAATAAAAACCTTCATTTAAAAACTGCATTTTGTGTTTACTTGTGTTATCTTTGTCTAATATTTAAATTTCTTTGATGATCTGAAACATTTAAGTGTGACAAACATGCAAAAAAATAAGAAATCAGGAAGGGGGCAAACACTTTTTCACACAACTGTATATAAAAACAATGCGGTGTAGTATTTTGCCCCCATGTTGACATGAGATCTCAGCAGCCCTGGGGTTTAAGATAACACAGATAAGTGAAGCACGAGGTTCTGTAGGAAGGAGGCAGAACTCACTCACCATTCCCAGCCTCACTTGTCCATGGCTCTCGATTACCCTACGATGTAAACAAAGCAGCAGATACGTTTGATGTAACTTTTGGAGAATTAACTGATTTCTTCTTTGGACTGAGCAGTACAGAGTACTGGGGTATACAAATAAATATACAGCAGCCAGAGGAAAACGTTCCAGAGACAATCTAGTAGTACATACCTTGATCAAAGAAGGAAGAGCACGAGAAGAACAATGCATTTCAAAAGTGCCAGCAGAAGAAAAGAGGTCTCATTTCCATCATAAAAGTGTGGTCTTAAGAATAACAACTAATTATCAAATCAATAATGTTCATGTTTCTTTGTACTTGTCAGACAATAGGCACACACACACACCTTTTCCGTTTAGACTGGAACAGGATCTCTTCTACTGTGGCTTTTAGTGAGCCAGATTCATCCTCCTTCAGCACCTCCCTGTAGGAAAACACACATATTCCACAATGTTGCACCGTAGAGACAGTCATGGACAATCCTGTTCACATTGTATATAAATGACCTGTAAGCTCTATTCATCCTTTGTTTTCAAATATCTTTCCCAATAGTACTCCTTTATTTTAGCTCCTTTCAGGTACAGGTGTTAGTATTACTTCTTATACACTCATATTTTTACTCGTTTTTAAATCGTGTGTTGCTGTAATTTACATTTTCTATTTTAGTTGGCTTTTTTAACTATATTTATCTCGCTCTTCTATATTAGCATCAGTATTACTTCTTCAACACTTAATAGTATTATTATATTGTTCATATATGTTTATATCATACTCTAATGTATTTCTTCTTCTGTTGTAATCTTTGATCAATCTCTGGCACAAGAGTTTATTTGATTTTTCTCTTTGTGTTTAATAAAGTTCTATTTGATCTTATTCAGTCTGGTCATTTATTCAGCACCTATTGACAAAGCTTTGTCTAATTCAAAGCCCGAATAAATCCCGGCTTTACTGAACCCAGATAAGACTGATTACAGTCTTCACTCGATACAGCATGAGAAACCCTCAGTACAATACCTGGGGCTCAAATAAAAAGTCCCATGTTATAAAGACCCATTATTGCTTCAATCACAGGTCTCTTAAATGTATTGCAGGTGAGTATTAGAAGGCATCATTATAACCTCTATGAGGAGGTAGGGTGACCCATCACTTACCACTTGAAGGGACCAACAGTCTATTTTGTATTTACCAGGCAACCCTTTTATTCATCATCGCTTAAAAGGTATTACAAATATGCCGTACTAAACATGTTCATTGTTCAAAGAATGCATTGCCTTGGATAATGTATGAATACGGAAGTGAGAAAGACTGCATTCTCCTATTGTGCCCCTCATAGGTGGAATACATTGAGGACTCCTTTAAGTTAGACAACCCTGGAACAGTTTCTATTGATTGATAGTGAATGCTCCTGTTTTAGTAAATGTGTCTGCTTTGTTCTTGTTTTACTGTTTGTGTTTACTTATTGTGGATTGTGTATCACTAGGCACCATTGTGAAATCTATCCATGTAAAAAACAACACATTTCAAGTTGAAACATTCATTAGTTTAACGGTCTTACCATGTCCTCTCATAGCCCCCTTCCCAGCGCTTGGCTCTCTCTGGTTCTTCATCCATTATGTCTGCCAACCACATATTGAAGTAAAGTTAGAGCCAAAAAACAGAGAAAATTCAGCTTCACATCAATACACAAGTCTTCTGCGCAGGGCATCAAATGCCGTTGTTTGATCAACAATGTCAGTTTAGGGGTATGACCTCATCTCATTGGTCTGCTTGTGTTCATATAAATCTGTGCTGCTCGTGTGAGTTCGTTGTTCGATAGCCGATGCTGCCTGAACGCTTTAGCTGTTGTTGTTGTTGCATTAAATGAACACGTGCAATGAAACTCAGTGCACCAAAACATCAGCTTGTTCCAGTTATCCAACTTTAATAATGAAAATTGAGTAAAGGAAGTCGAGAGTTGGAAACAGAGACAGCTCGCCTTCAAAGTAAAAGTTGCGCATTTTCAAACGTGTTTGCAATTTAAGGAGAGCTAAATTAAATAAATAAACAAATAGCCTGAATAATTAACAGAGTATATAACTGTGAGTCATATTTCTGCATATTTCAGCTCTGCTGTCATGACAATGAAGCCACTAAGCTATTCAATGCAAAATCCTTCAGGTTTACTTACTGTTCACACTTTTAACTATTCTACATAAAATAAAATAAATGAATAATAAAAATCCTTTTGCAGGATAATCCTCTGGGCTGTGTACAGAATGCTTCATCAGCATGACTTTCCACCGCATAAATGTCACTTTCCAGCATCCCAACCCACACTTTAAGAGCGTTTTCAATATGGCAGTCTGCAACAGGGTGCACATGTTTCTGTTTACAACACAAGCCTGTATTAACAACAGTGATAACATACTGTATAACACTACATTTTCACTCTTCAAATTTTTTCTACCTGATGCCCGCTGGCATCATGGAAACATGAATTTCAGGCCAGCCAATCAGCTCCTTCCCATCTTCAAACTTTATTTCAGAATCTTTTGTCATCTATTATAAAGTAGTAGGCTACTAATCCTTAGTATTGCAGCTTCCTTGTTAAGTTTGTTCAGGAGCAATTCACTGTTCATTAAAAGTTGTTTAATGAAAACCCAGAAGCTGTTAATTAACTATAGTGTATTGACTATTTTAAATGACAAAATAGCATGAAACTTGTTGTGCTTTGACAAACTTTGACACGTGCATTTGAGGACAAATACTGAGGTCATAGAACCAGCAGATCTCGTTGTTCTCTCATAAAGTTAATGCACGAATTCATTTAGCTTTCATGTGTGCAGTGTCTCTGTGGAGCCTGCACTGAATCAGTGCACGTGTTCATTCAATGCGCCAATAACACAGCTAGAGCTTTAACCGCGTTTAGGCAGCATCGGCTATGGAACAACGAACTCACACTTAGCAGAACACATTTGCACAAGTAGACCAATGAGATGAGGCAATACCCCTAAACTGACATTGTTCATTACACAACGTGAACAACGGAACATTAATTATACTTCGTGCACGGACCACTAACGTTATATTAAGCCGAATTGTTTGCTGACCTTACAGATGATCAATAGCATTATTATTACATGTCGTTAATTGTACCGAATACTGGAGCGAATGTACAAGGAGACGCTGTTATTATTAGAATAGCGTTAGACACAACAGCTAACACTAGTTGGCTGAGCAGAAATATTTGACGTCACATTTAATCACGAGCATTATGCACATCTTTTAATTTCAAACATTGCAGTAAGATAAAGTAATTTCATGGCCGCAAGTACCCTTCACGTTACTCGAAGTCATTAACTTAGCATTCACTTTTTACACAGCAAGCTAGCTAACAATTCTGTTCACGAGCGTAACGTTAACTCAAGCTGCTAATGTGAACCAAGTTAATGTATCATCTAGTTACTATTTATTGTTGTGTGTGATACGAATTTCTATCGCACTCATGAACATATAAAGACAACTTACGTTACGCTAACGTTAATAACAAACAATCAGCTGTACCTACAATACCGTTTGAGTGCAACGCCAGATGGATATTTCTTCCGGAGAGAAACACGCTTTCCGGAACTAATGCGTTGTCCGTGTTCTTCTTCTCTGGTTTTATTGGCAGTTGGCAAACACGCTTAGAGAAACCTTACCGTCAGCTACTGGACTGGAGTGTGAAGCAGTAGGTTTTGCAGGGAAAAGTTATTACTGTTGTTAATTAGAAGCGAAGCAGGAAACAATGGAAACCATCATTAAGAAAAGCTCTATAGAAATAGCGAGTCTTCTCACTGGTGGTCTCGTTTTCTTCTGAAGGTCATATCATATACTGGTAAATCTATTGTTCTGAAGCACTTTCTTGAAGAACATAATGTAAACTCTGTTTTCTTTCACAAAAGCCACATGTGGGCTATTGTCAGCCTGAAACTAGGACCCTAAAATATGAAAATTCAGCTTTGGGCAGTAAATTTGTAAAAACATCAGGTATCAATGAAATCAACATTGAATACATATTTAGTTCTGAAGCACTTTCTGGAAGAATATCATGTGAACTATTTTTTTTTTTCTTCAGAAAATCGACTTTTGGGCTATAAAAATCTTTTGTGAGCCTAAAAGAGGAAAATGCAGCTTTGGACGGTAAAGTGGTGAAAACATCAGGTATTCATGAAATCAACTTTGGATTGGTAAATCTGTTGTTTTGAAGCACTTTCTTGAAGTGTTATTCTTAGCCTGAAACGTCAACTTAAAAAAGGTGAAAATTAGGCTTTAGCAGTAAAGTGTTGAAAGCAACATGTCATCTGCAAAAAGAGCTGTTTTATGGGCTGTTCCACCTTCATCCACTATTCCTTGAATTTGTATATCTTGGTGTATCGCTTCTGCTCGAGGTTCAATACTAAGCACAAAGAGGATGGGTGACAGTGAATCCCCCTGTCTCATGCCCCTCTCCACCGTGAAAGATTCAGAACAGTGACCATTAACTCGAACTTTTGATCTTGGGTCTCAAACTCATCTTCACTCTGGGCCACATCAGCATCATGGTTTCCCTCAAAGGGCCGGTTGTAAATGCAACTACTCCTAACATATTGGTAAATAACTCTGCATTTGATTATTCAAGTGTTAAAATATTGTACATGCAGTTATATAAATATAAAATATATTTCAGCACATTTCTGTTGCAACTTAAATCCTTTTAATTTAGGGTTCATTAAGAAACCCACATTACATTAAACATTTAAAGAAAATATCAAACACAAGTTATTTTAATAACTTTGTTCAATGCTTAAAATCCTTTTAAGGGTGCGTTTGCACAATCCCACGTGAAGTATTTCATCCGTTTTAAAGTCACGTTTAAAGTAGTCTTCAATATACTCACAATACATTTCAACTGTACAGTAACCAGCCAAAGAGCTGCTTCTATGACTGTTGTTTAAGTAGCTCATCATTTCGACTATGGGAATCTTTTTATCATCAAGTCTAACTTTTTGCTGACGGATTTGCGGGCCACATAATATGACGTGGTGGGCCGGATTCAGCCCGCGGGCCTCGAGTTTGCCACCCCTGACCTAGATTGTCCCACAGATGCACAGCTGGGGTCTGAACATTTCCATCTTTACCTTTTTTCTGTCATCGCACACATGCTATGTTATGACCCCGTACAGGACAGCTGGAAAAGGCTCGCTGACATGCAGGAGTTTAGAAGCAACTTCTCAGTGGTGACACACGAAGAGCGTCTATGCCATTGGTGGAGATCAACGCCAACCTAGACCTAGCTTCGAGATGTACAACCCAATGTTCATATGTTGATCTCGGGTTTTAAAAACATCTTTAACTAGTGAGGCGTTTGATGCACAGGAAGCCAAAAACTGTTTTACAACAACAACATTTGTTTCATTTTGACATTTCCACAATCCTCCAAAATGTTTAAACTTTACATGAGAAATTGCTGAAAGGAAGAAGAACAGATTGAGACATGCGTCCTTGAATAAACAAACATGGCATCTCATTCTATTCTAAAATCTACAATGTTGGAAAGATGAGGAACCCACTGAATACACTTTTATGTATGTTTCCACCCTTCCACAGGATGACGTTGACGGTCTCTCCGACATTCAGCTCAAGGATTACCGTGTTGCTGGTGGTGTCACTGTTATCTGAGCTGGTGAATTCCCAGGTGCTCACTTGGTAATGCCTGTTCTTCACCAGGATGGCTCCTGAAGTGTGACCGTTGTAGCCGAAAGTCATGAATGAAAAGTGGTAAACACCTTTCAGTCGAGCAGTGAAGATGCCTGTTGAAGAGAAGAACGCAATGACATCAAGAAGTTAGAAAAACATTTGTCCTTACTTCTTAATACATTTTTCTACTAAACGGAAACACAAATAACCATCATCTTCTCAGTTAGATGATAAGATCGACACCACTCTTATGTCTGCATGTTAAAAATGAAGATAAAGCCATGCATCTGGTTAGCTTAGCATAAAGATTACAAACTGGGGAAAACAATTAGCCACCTTTAGTCTAAAAGTAACAAAATCACCAACACACAAAGGTCAATGGACTTATAGGCAACTTGTGGAAAAGCGTCAGAGGCCGTGGAAGGAAGACTTTGCAATGTTCTGCAATCATCTGACAGATGATATCCAATAATATAGAGGATGCATTCCATTTTATTAAAGCCGCATACTTTCAGATCTGTTAATCATTGGTCAGTTTACTGAAGGTTATGCATGTAGAACATACCCGTTTTACAGTTGTAAGCGAAGCCAACGTTCGTGAAGACTCGGTTATAGATGAGAATATTGTTGGTGCTGTTGATGCTGGGTCCAGTGAACGCATCGTTGGATTCGATTATAGTTGCAGAAAATGCCACCTTGGCATTGACTGATGAAAGAAATGCAAACATTGTTAAATTCAGGTGTATGTGTTTAGCATCTTGAACTATTTCTTACTATGCTTTCCCTTACCTTCGAATCTAAGGCGCATCACCTCTAATGAGAGTTCACTTTCTTCAGTTCTGAGTTCTGCAGGAAAAAAAAAAAAATAAAAAAAAAAATAAAAAAATAATAATGTTACTTTAAACACAATTTTACATTCTACATTTATGAAAAGGCAGCAGCTCGGTATTTATCTATTTTCAGGGTACAAGTTGCTTTTGTTGAGGGATTGGACCATCTCATCGCTCTTGAGACAGTCAATGTCAGCCTTCTGCTGGTCCACTGCAGTTCATCAACATTCCTGAATCAATCAACTTCAGCCTTTTGATCATTCAGTTTTGAGCTGAAAACTCGAGTCATTATCAAAAGGACATTTTTGCAGTCAATTCATGAAAACATTTATTAATTTCTCTTAAGATAATACAGACTTAAAAACTTACCTCCGCTGTCATTTTGTATTTCCGTGGCATTCAGTAGGGCTTCGACTTTGACTTCAAGCTTCCGGGCCGTCGAGTTAAGGTGGGAGAGTTCCTTCTTGTGTAGAGTCAGCAGTTTCTGTGTGGCATTGAACGCAGCCCCAGTTTCTGACTCCAGATTTTCAAGTTTCTCTTTTCTCTCCCTTAGCTGCCTCTCAGTTGCATCAAGTCTCTCCTCAATCTCACTGATGTTTCCCCCGACTCTCTCCCCGTGTTTGACCAGTTCTCCAACTTCTCTCTTCAGGCTGGCAATGTCAACTTCCTGTTCCTCCAGCTTTGTCTTTGCATCTCTCAACTCCATCTCAGTTTGTGACTTCATCCTTTCTAGGTCCTTTTGTGCATTTGAAACGTTTGTCACCAACCTTTCAAGCGCACTAATATTGTCGCTTGCAGAATCAAGCTGCAGTCTGGTTCTACCTTCCAGAGTGTCAATCCTCTCTCGCAGCAGCATTTGGTTCTCTTCAAGTTTTGTCTGAACATCTTCGAGGTGTAAAATGTTTCTGTAATTTGAGCAAAGAGTCGGCATTTCTTGTGCTTGCTCCGGGTCACACCTGTGTGGGAGTTCTGAAGATGCCGCTCCAACAAAAGCCAGAAGAAAAACCACCATGACGACCATCTTCAGAGCTAAGTTAAGGTTCTTTACTTGACCAGTCTGCAAAGTTAGGACTCCTGTGCCACTCTCCTCTGGCAGCTTCCTTTTACCTTTTTAGAGGTGGGCGTGGCAAAGGGTCATCAGCAGAGTGGAAACACCTGAGCTCATCAGCAACACTGGCAACACATGGGCCCTTTGTACCAGTGCACTCTGTTAAAAACCCTCTTTAGTCTCACTAGGTCCCTGTCTCCTGAGACACTCATATGTTTTTTGGTTGACGTCGTGGTTTGTTTCGACGCTATACAACATTACACACTTTCCACTCATGCACTCACCGGCACTGCTGAAATGACTGATTTCACACACCACTGTTAGTTTAAACTTGCCATTTATGTTGCCTTTAAGTTAAGCTAATAATTGGCTTTGTTGCGTAAGTCTCACTCGTCACTGTCGGTTTGTGACGAGGGTGCAACAAGAGCTTTCTTACTTCAAGGGAATGTCACTCACCACTTAAACCACCAAACCTCTCTCTTTGATTTTCTGCCATGTGTAGACTTCTCTTACTATTCTAACATGTAACATAACTCAATCGAAACTTGTGCTGGGTTCACGCAACAGCCACGCAACGCAAAAAGGAAAACCATCTTTATGATTATTTTTCCAAGGTAAATGCAGATTCTGTATAAAAATACCTGCCCACAAAATTAGCCCTGTTGAGCAAGAAATGGATAGGGGTCTGTGGTTTTAACATAATTATGTCATACTAAAATTCTTAAGTTAGCCTGAAACGGTTTCTGTGTCTTGTTAGCTTCTTTGTCATTGGTACCGTTGTATGCCTTCTATGTCCTATTCCCTGCACAGATGACATACTAGCGGATGCCAAATAAGAAACTGTCTACCAAAACTGTGTATTTTTGTAGGACATAGAGGTTCCATGGTGTAATGGTTAGCACTCTGGACTCTGAATCCAGTGATCTGAGTTCAAATCTCAGTGGAACCTGACTTTAAGCTAAATTAAAGGTCAAAAAAGGTCAAAAAATGCAACCTTTCCACATCTCAGCAAAAGTTGG